GGTACACCATTAGTAATGTGTAACCACTCAGAAGACAGCCCATCAAACTGAACACATTGGGACCTTTCAGAGAGGTAGTTCACAAACCACCCCACTGCATGGCTGGATATGCCAATACTGACTAGCCTCTGCTTCAAGATGCGATGATCGACAGTATCGCCTACATTTGTTTCCGGTGACTTTATTTTGAAATTCAGTTCCTGACGGCAAAAAAGCCCGATATTATAGAATCAAACAAATAAATAAAAACAAGGATAATTGTGTGTTATTGTTGAGTAAATAACAGTGTGTTATTTAGAAAAGAATAACAAATTACAAGGAAAAAAAGATTTAAAAAATACAGATTTCAGTATTCTGAGGCTCTGAGCCCCATTTCTTTTCCTCACGGACGGCAAAAAAAGTCTGGCATTATACGATTTAAAATAAAAACAATAATCGTGGCTTGATATTGAGCAAGAAAATGTTTTTTATGAACCACACAGCTTCCGGTCTTCCAAGACCCGACCGGACAAAAAGACGTGGTGCAGGCACGAAACATACTACCAATAGAAATACATTTATTTTAAAATCGTTCTGTGTGACACGGGAAAAAAAGGGGAAAATCATGTTGGTGAACACGTATCAATAGATTAAATGTCGTGACTATAACAAGAAATGCAGTGAGACTGGGTTGTAATAACTGTAGGTTTGCATGCAGGTTTTACCTCAGGTAAAACATATTTAGATGTCTGGGACATATTTATTAGCAGTATGTTATGTACACTAAGCCAGTGTATTTAGACAATCCCGTTTAACTTAGACAAAGAATGAGGGACAGGGGATGTGAAGCTGACAATTGAGCGGCCCGACCAAGCAAGGAGGCAGAGGCAGAACGTCCAAAAATACAACCCGGTGTGGGCATTTATTAAGTCATACACATCATTCACAGCCTCAATCCGGCTGAACATGTGCACACCGTCACCAACCACAGGGATTTTTGCACCACACTACCAGCCTCCAAACAGACAGGGCAACAGAGCCTAAATACACACCCACACTAATCAAACCAACAGGACACAGGTGAGGGGGGAGCAATTAGACACAGGTGGGGGGGGAGGAGACAACACAGTGCACCAGGTGAACATAATCAGGAGTAACAGAAAGAACGGGAGGGGGAACACTTTTCAAAATAAAAGACATGTGCAATATACAAGGCCCGAAGTCGTCAGTCCATAGTGACGAAGTTACCTTCGTCACAGGGGATTTACTGGAAATATGTTTTAGTAGTTGTCCGGTCAACCTTACACTTGATGGGTATATAGCTGAGGACCCAGGGAGAGTGCCTTGTTAAATGTGAGATTTTAAGGATGAGCGCTTCTCAGGCACGTTGGAAACAAGTGCTTTATTAGTGAAAAAATGTGGCCTCACACACAAATCAGTTCAACTTCTAACAAAACAACACCAGCTGGTTATTTGTATCTGTTGTGTCCTGCAGGAGACGCTGTCTGATGTAATGGACAGAGCTCCAATTGGGGTGCACTTGGCTTTTGTTGGATACTCTTACACCGCAACCTGGTAAACGTATTTCATGGTTGATGCTTTGCGTGCATCCAATGAGTATAACCGGCTTTTTAGAAAGAATCTGATTCCGGAGTTAACTGAATATTCTACAATTGCTCTCTCTTTTATAGTCAGACGGGTGCCATCGACCGAAGTCTAGACATCATGATGCAGATTGACCACTCAAGTCTCAGGGACTGTGAGAGCCGTTACACACCGGAGAAACTGGTGAGACATCATCCACCTGAAGTCTTTAGGACCCTTTGTCTGTTGTCAGGTTGCACCAGTTAACTTACAGTGTATGCAGCATTTATATGACTGTACTTTCATATGATCATAAATATTATTCGGTGTGTTTCCTCATTCTGATGGGCCTTATTTGGCTTACCCATGGTTCGAATGCAGAGTCAGCAGTGGCAGCTCACAGACAATCTGCCAGATGAGCTGTCTGCATTGCTGGAGCTTCCACTCACATTAGAGCAAGGTCAAACTGCATCCACCCACACCACCACTGAGGAAGAGGAGGAGGAGAATGAGGAGGAGGATGTGGAGGAGACCAACCAAATATCCGGACTCCATGAAGACTTGCAGAGGTATCAATTGAAATAATTAAAAATTAGGTTCATCTTAATAATATTGCTTTCCATAGTGCGTCCACTGGGTCAGGGAGGGAGGGGGTGATGTCAAGGTGCCTTAGGTATATTTAGTGGGCACAAGTTCTCCACAGCCTGCAGGTTTTCCAGGTTTAATCAATTTAAGTTAATCATTCATCTGGGAGTAATGTAGACAATACCTCATCGCTGTGTTATTTTCTTCTTTTGTACCACGTGTTGGTGCCCTGGTAGTTAGATTTCTATAACTCTTTGTCATTGTATTGTCTCTTGGCACTGCTATAAGCTCTAAATCCCTAAGTGTAGGTCCATGCTTTAAGTTTAGCACTGACTTCTGCATTAACCCAATGTTTATAATTTGGGAATGTCCGCACAGTATTGCTGGCTACAACGTAGCCAGGGAGAAACTCTGGAATCATACAGCTTGAAAAACTATTTTTATGTCATATATATATATTTATTATTTTAAGCAATTATTATTTAACTGTTTGTAAGAAAAGAATACTGTTAGAAACATTCGCAAACTAGAAAAAGTACAGGTATAGGTCAACTATATATATTTTACCCTTCAAATTAAATATCCATTGCAGAGGCATTACATTATCCCAACCCAATTTGAGAAATAAAATAACAACAATAATAACATATGATGAAACTCACAGTCTTCCTTCTTTACCCACCAGGCGGTTACAGGAGGCAGAGAGGAGATATTGTGAGCTGGAGAAAGAAATGGAGAGGTTGAAGGGGGAGATGCAGGACTGGAGAGCCCCCAAGGAGACAGGCAAGGGATCAACAGCCCTGCTTCCTCTTCACACCATCATCTTCATCATCCTCTGTTCCGCTCTGTTTCACTTTATATTGTATGCAGTCATGCCATGAGACCGCAGGGACCAATAGATTTGAACACTGCAAAGAACACAGTCATGAAATTGCAATCATTATATGACAATGAATCATAGTATTACTGTAAAGCTACACATAGGGATGTTGGAACTGTTGATGTAAATTACATTAAAAGTCATGGCCATATATAGGTAGACATGTCGTTTTTGTCGAGATCAAATTTAAAAATCTGCTGCTTTCAGAATGCCAGGTAGTTCAGTAATATGACCTGATCACACAGACATCAACATGACCCAAGTACTACTTTACAGTCCTGAGTCTCTTAAGAACAACATAAATGTGAGGTGGAGCGAGTTCCAAACAATATGAGCAACTCTGAATAAACACACGGCTTCACAGTGCTGGCAGCATCTGCTTCTATTGGAGTGCTCAGTCAGAACATGGTGATAAATACCCACTCTAAGAATAGCCTTGGTATGCATGAACTTGGAAGCCCCTTTCCATAAGTCAATACGGTGTCATGAGCTTTTTAAAGAGGCAGCGGTGAGGGTCTTCCTGCTGCTGGGCTAATGGATGACAGTGCCATGAAAAATTACCAGAACTCCTGTTGTTGCAAAGCCATGTGGAAAAAAATCACATGCCTCGCTCCATGTGTGACGATAAAAAGGCTTTCTTCACTTCAGCTGCTGCTCTCTCCATCACTTCTGTCCCTCCATTAACCTGCACACCGTCGTCCTTTCATCACCACAGAGATGTACTGTTTTTTTGTTTTGTTCTTTGTGTTATTACAAATCTGGCTGGCCAGCAGTGCACCCAAAGGCTGAATGCCTGCAGCAGCAGCAGTGCCGCCGCACATCATGGGCTCTGATGTTCCTCTCTCTCCTCCAATCACAGCACTGAGTCTCTGCCCAGCATCTCTTGCTCTGCCTGCCCACTGTGTAGACGCACCAAGGGATGTAAGCCTAACTTTTTTCCTCTTTCATGTTCTCTTTCTCTGCCTGACATGGAAAAACAAAAACTCTTTTTAAGTGCATGTAACCTGTTGGATTCTCTGGTGAATCTCTGCATCTGTTGCGTAAGTAAGGCTTGCAAACAGAAGATTGTACTGTATGACATACGATGTGTACAGCTGACTTAGCACTTATCAATAGCAGAATATTTGTTTATGTTTCTATAAAGCTGCTGTCTGTTCACCAGTCTGACTTGCATGTGTTACAGAGGGAGAGAGTGCCCCCTGCCTGCCATTACCCACTGGTGATTCCTCTCCACCGACACCTGCTCCTGTTCCACAGGGTACACAAAACACTCAGACAGCAATCTATCATTGTGTGTGGGAGAGAAACTCCCTCTGCAGGGAACACAGGGATTGTAGCCTTTGCAGACCATTTACATGCACTAAAACCTATATAACACACTACAGGAGAGGAAAAAACCCAAAAGGATCAACTCTACTGTGAATTATTATCATTACTATTATGGTTTAACTTTTGGTGTTGTAAATGCAATACAGTATACATCAGCACAAGACAATATTTTAGGCCAAAATTAATCCTTTATATGAGTTCATTTCAATCAATTTGAAAGAAATAAGCTGTTTTTTTGTCCTCCAGGTTCGCCTGCCACAGGTGACGAGTGAGTCCTACCTGCTGGTGTGTGCCAAAGGGGGGGAGCTCCAAGCATGGCAGAGAACCTGTTACACTGAGCTCTCCTGAATGCATTTTCAAGGTGGCATATAATGACTTCTCCTAATATAACAAGACAAAGGGCTGAGGTCACGCTTTGCCGGAAACAGGCAAAGCAGGACTGCAAGGGGAGCTGCGGAGGGTGTCAGTACTGTACACAACTTTTAAAATGAAGTGTTCCAACTGATATGAGGAGAAAGGGGGCTCAGACTGCTGGGAGCTAATGAGGAAGAAATGATGATGATGAAATCTTCTGACCTACCTTGCCTGCTTACCAGATGGACAGTCATGATAGAGATGCACTGAGTTTTGAGCACAGTGAGAAAAACACTCACCTTAATGTGTGACAATGACAATCAGGTTTCAGTGACACACAGAGGGTTAGAATCTCTTTTGTATAATGTATCTGCACCTTTGGGTGTATTGGTCTTGTGTTGCACTCCTATGGGCATGTTTTTGCTGTGCCTGTATTTATATTCAAGGGTTACTAATAATGACCCAGATATGTTTGTATATTAACTTGGGCCATACCATCATAGGCTCTGAACGTGTAAAGGGTGTGCTGCATAGACACAGGCAAACATTATGGAGGATTGAGATTAATCATTTCACTATTACAATTTATCTCCCTATACAATTGTCTAAGTGGCTATTTCAAAGCCCTCCACACATTGCCAGAATTATAATTATGATTAGTTGAACATGTTTGAATTTGTTTGGTGTAAATTTGTAAAATTTGAGAAATAACCAGAATCAGGCATGATGTATAATGTGTGTTTTATTGAAGAATGTGAACTTGTCCTCAGGCGGATATGAACCCCTACATTTCTTCAAGCAATAATGATGATATGACCTTGTTCTCTCTACATCCCCAACCTTTACAGTGACAGTGACCTTCAATTCTGCCATTAAAACCTTTAAAAGTTATATTGAAAACAAAACATGAACTCAAATTTGAAACATTGATGTTCTTACACTTGCATTCAAAAAGGCTGTATTTACACTGAAAAATGAATTGCACTGAAAAAATTAAATACTGTCTTTAAACATTATTTTATGTTTTATAATTAATTATTCAAGCATTCTGACATCCAATATTTTTTTTATAAGGCCTGGGAGAGGATGTTAGGATAGGATCACCATTTGTAAAAGAAAAGGAAAAAGGAGGTGGGATACAGATATTGCCCCCATGATATTAATTCAATTTCTGGTGTTTATTTCTTAAAGTCATAGAAACCTCCTTAAGTTTATTATTGAGCAAAAATGTGTTAACGTTTCACCAAATATGTTTCCATAAAGTGAATTAACAACAGGAAGGTTAACCGGTTACACGTCACATGACTTCTTCTTCTGTAGTTTTACCTATAGACTGTAGTTATTGTGTAAAGCAGTGATGGAATAAGTACTCAGATGTTTTACTTGAGTAAAAATAGCAATACTATAAAACATATTCTGTTACAAGTAAAAGTACTGATTTCAAAATCGTACTCAGGAAGAACTACAAAAGTATTGGCATCAAAATATAATTCAGGTACCAAAAGTAAATGTTATGCGTAATGGCCCATTTCAGAATTGAATATTTTATATTACTGGGTTGTGAATATTAATGTGCTAGTGTGTTTGTCAGCTAATGTTAAGTGCTGTATTTAAAGCTGCTGGATATTTTTGCCTCTTTTAACCTCTATGTTGACACAGGGAGAAAATGACTTCTTTATTAATTAATAATGGCCAAATATAATAGTCAAGCACCTCAGAATATAGTGCATTTTGTGTTTTAGACACGGATAAATCAGATGTTAAATGCTGCAGAGTTTTACCTGTGTTCATTTTTTAGAAAAGTGTGCAACGACCACACTGCTGTATCATGTTCATTTTCATCTTGACTATAATGTGATTTACATCCTTTTTTTTTAGCCCTGTGTGGCCCTCAATGTCAGTGCTCCCCACACACTGCCCTTTATTTTATAAGAATATAAAACATTTCCTTTAGTGAAGGTAAATAAAGAGTGTTAGAGATGTAGGCTGCTTCGTTATTTGAAACATTCTCCTTGTCCTCTGCTATTATAGAAGACACCTTTCTCTATAACAAATACACTGTTGGTGCCCAGACTAGTCAAACACACTCAGCTAAACACCGCCATCTAGCGGGCAAGGGAAATCATTACATCTTCAGAAAGAGGGACATATTCTCCCGGAGTTTAAAGCAGTGGCGTCTGGCCCACCCACAGCCAATCAGCGCTTCATAGAGTAGAGCCGGGAAGCCCAGAAGGAAGTGCCACAAACTGCAGTTCATCTAGTGGCCGACAGGAGATGGATGCAGAAAGGAGCAATTCCGATAGACCACCATGTTAAAATGCCCAACTTTACAGCAGAAATAAACATGTTTCTAGCCTGGATCCAATAAAACTTATTCTGGATATAGTTAGATTCCACCTTCATGACAATGGAACAGGGAGTGCATTTTTTTACCGTGAGTTTTTATAGTAAGTAAAGTAACTTTTGCCGTGAGTGAATGAAAGTATTATCTCTTCTTGAAGTCTGCAGTTTAGCGTGAACACATTTGCTGAATATGAAAACACTCAGTGTGTGCCCATGTGCGACTGTCAAGGATAAGCAACCTGTGGCCGCCGATATATATATATAGATATATATATATATGTCATATGTATTATTGCTACACAAAGATTACATTACAGTTGTAGTGTCGCCAACTCCGTATGCAAAAAGACAGCAACATGCATCTTTTAGATCTTTCCAGACGAGAGATCTCTCTTCCCCGTCTGTGTGCGAGGGGGCGGGGCAGTTTACACACACGCTCTGCTAGATGCATGCAACGCAACAACACACACACACG